CATAAGTGAACCACTCCTTTTACATTCTTTAACATGGTCCTTTTTTCCAACAATCAACCGCTTGATAGGACTATCATTATGAATAGAGAAGGTGATGAAGCGAGTTTAACCCCTACTTATCCCGGTGCTCTTGATCAAAAGGTAACAAAACCTAAAAAGCCTAAAGGGGCTATAGTTTTATGGAGTCTAAAAACTACACAAAGGTTGCCACTATGGCCTACCTATTCGGATTACGTTGTTTGGCACAATGAGTCGAAGTGATAAAACACATTCATTACAAACTTGGTTAACGGATAGGAAAAATTAAATGTGAACCCACACACATAGGAGTGTGTATGTCAAAATATCCATGTTTGGCCCCAAATAATTCCTCACTAATCCTATCATCAAAATATAAGGCCCTTACTAGTATCTAAGGCTAAGCAACTTGTTGTACTCCACAAATATATTGGCATCCATCCTACACATCAAATTGATCCCAAGGAATCCTAACTACCCTAACCGAAAGTTGCCTCCCTCTTATAAAGACCCGAATCCACCATTAGTAATTGCTTTAGATCCGGATCCGATTCTATTTACATTTGCCATATTCTCTCTCAACTGAAACTTAGTTGTTGTTTGGTAATCAAATATTGAGTGGTGGAAATAAAAATAAAATTTTTATTCTCACGTTATAACTTGTTTGGTTAAAAGGAATGAAGTGAGAATGGAAATTAAGAGCAAGAAGGAAAATAAAAATTTACACACAACTTCATTCCCATATAAGATGTGGGAATAAAAATAAGGAATGAGAATGAATTTTTTTCAAAATAATAATATATTTTATTTATTTATTATCTATTAACTACTTTTATCATTACCACCACCATCGTAACCATCACAACCACCACCACCATCACGACTACTACTACCATCACCACCACCACTACCACTAGAACCACCACCACCACCACCATCACCTTTATTATTTTTACAACCATTATAGTTTGATAAAATTATTTTTTTAACAATTATTTTTATTTGCTTAAAAAACCGGATATTGAAAAATTTAAATTGCATTCTAATTCCTCATTAATATTCCAAACATGGTATGGGTATACAAATGTCATTTTGATTCTTTAATTTTCATTTAGATTTCGTATTCCCATTTTAGACCTTTCATTCCCGATAGTCAAATGACACCTTAAAGAAAAAGAGGTAGTAGGGTTATCTAAAAAGAAAACATCGCTAAAAAACTTAAAGAAATGATGGTGGTAGCTTTGCTCTCTCAAAACCACCAAAACAATGGTGAAAAGGTCTTAAAATACTCAAAATCTCACACAAAGCAAACCCCCTAAATCACCAAATAAAAAGGCTTAAATCTCTCTCTTTCTCGGCCGACGGACGAACTTTTATCGGAGATAATGAAGACGAGAAAAAGATATGAAATTGATGTTGTCCAATCACATTCGGACACAAATGACATCGCGATATTAATGGTGGGCATTCAAAACTTTGAAATGTCAAGACTCTTGACATTTTCCATGCTCCCACATGCCTTCTCTTGGACTTTTCTAGGCCAACAATGCAAAAAAAAACTAAAAGATCTAAATTTTTTACTTGTTCATTCACCGTAGCAATTTTTTTTTTCGATCGGCTTTTGCTTCTTTTTTTTTTTTTTTTTAGGTTTGGGCTGCTAACAAGGATTGGTTACTTGTAGCATTAATCTTTTTTTTCTTTTTAAGTCGGCTAGCTTTTTTTTTTTTTTTAATACAACTAGGTTGCTACTAATTAAGAAAAGAAAGGAGTATTGATGATGGCGAGTTGTTTCCCTTCTATATAAATAATATTTTATATATTTTTTTTATCATGAAATTAGGTGTGAAAATATAATTTTTTTTTTTTTTAGTTTTGCATACGGTTTGACGATAATAGATTATATATGATATTGGTTTTAAGATTTTAGTTTAAACACACACACACACACACACACACACACACACACACACACACACACACACACACACACACACACACACACATATATATATATATATATATATATATATATATATATATATATATATATATGTAGATTATATATGATATTTGTTTTAAGATTTTAGTTTAAACACACACACACACACATATATATATCCGATTATATTATTTTTATTATTTAAAATTTATTTCTTCAATTGTTTCTTTCTTATTAAAATTATCATCTAGTTAATTTTTAAATTTTATATAATTTTATTTGTTAATAAATTTGATTTTCTTGTATATGGATTTTGAAATAAAATTTTAGACCATGATTGTTTTATTTTTTAAAATATATTATAATAATTTATATGATTGATTATTTTTATGATTTTTAAATGAGAATTTGCATATATAAATTCTAATGGGAGAGAAAGAGCTAAAGCTGTGTTTTAGATAATTTAACTTAATTTTTTTTAAAAAATAATAATTAGTTAAAAAAATTCACAGATTTTATTTGGTCTTATATATATATATATATATATACCGAATTTATCAAAACTAATTTTATAGTAGTTTTTATTTAAATCTATTCACTTTGATATATTCCATACGATTTAAGTGAATTTTTTATATTTTTTATATATTTTAAATATTCGACTCGCTAATTACAATATATATAGCTCCCCCCTCCCCTCCCAATTAGAATTTATACATGACAAAACCATATATATATATATAAACACACACACACACACACACACACACACATAGCAAATTCAGATTATATTGAAAAAATCACTTAAATTACATGAAATATATCAAAGTAAATAGATTTAAATAAAAGCTATTATAAAATTAGTTTTGATAAATTATGTTCATATATATATATATATATACACACACACACACACATATACATACATAGAGAGAGAGAGAGAGAGACTTTGTTAGAAATTAATTACTTTTGCACACATAACACCATTTATTTGTTATTTTTTTATTTTCTAAAATTTGAATTTTTAAATAAAATAATTTAATTAATATTTTGAAAGAACCACTTAATTATTCGAATACAAATTTTTATACTAATATTATAAATTATTTTGTTAATATATATATATGTATATATATATATATATTCAATTTACATTAATCTTAAGAAATAAAATATCTATTTGCATAACACCATTCAAATCGTTAATCGTGCGTATATAATATTTATCTAACCGCAACATAGCATAGATATCTAACTATTGATATATAAGATAATAAGCAGATCATAACAACATTTGAGGCATGGAAATGGCATGCCAAGTGACGACCAAAAAGACCCCAATCAACTTAAACACAACACGTGGACTCCTAAAGGCATACGTAGACTCTCGAATGCCATTTACAACCAAAAGATGAGATGAGTGACAAAATGTTTGAAGGGTAGCCTAGATGAAGGAGGTGCTTGCTAAAAGGACTCTTGAAACCCTAACAAGAATCAAGTCTCGGCTATATGACAATTGCCAAGAATTGTAGGGTCAATTGATATACCTAGAAAACTTGTGGGGTACGGGGCCCTTCAACGGAAACATGTGGGAAAACTAGGTCCCACACCTAGGGCATAACATTTTGTAATAAGCTCGGATAACCCAAGATCGCCCCAACAACCCTTGACGAGCAATGAGGTTCTCTAAGCGGTTAGCCAATGGTCGAGGAACTTGCACCTACCTTCCACCTAGAGAGGAAAAAAATACATTCATTGAATAAAGATACATCTCCAAAAGTACTTTAATCTAATTGATAACAACAATAACATTATTATATTCGTTCATCGATAACACATCAACATCAAATACGAGTTATCTCATAATTAGAATTAGAATTTAAAATCATGGAAAATAAGAAGATAAACGATTTTGTCATTCTCTTCGTACAATTTGACGAGTCATACTTGCTATATTAAGACTTAGGGTAAAAGAATTTAAATCTTCTTTGATGGATGGTATGTAATTCTTTCAACATTTATACTATTTATCTTCTATTTATACTTGCATCATTGTCTTTTCAAGCCACCATTCTCCTTCTTATACTAATTTAATCATCAAAAGCTCTTATATCATATTAGAGAAACTTGTTTTACGAATATTCTACCTAACTTGATTTTTGTCCACCAGCGAGATATCATAATTGTGCCGATTAAGAATGAGTCACCTCATCTTTTAAGGTTTACAACCTCATTAGCTTTTGCATTGCTTACGGATCACCCACATTCGAGATTTATATATTCACGAGGTTTATTTAGAATTTAAACTAGAAATAATAATGTAGGAAGCAAACTTAATTATTTACAATCCACACCAAACTTTAAAAGTGTTTGATTATGTGCTGCTAACAAAGAATTGGTTGCGTTTTATGGTGTGATTATTGTTTTTTCGTTGAAATATGTAGATAAGATCTTGTTTGTTAAAATTATGCAATTAAGTGGAAGGGCATGACTTAGCTATATGAACTAAAGGCTTTCCATTTCAATGTAACACATAGTTTTTCTTCTCTGTTTTTTGTCCTGAAAAAGTCGTGTAATTCTTAGTTTTTGTGTATTTCGTTCACTACATAACACAATACGGTCTAATAAAGAGAGCAAAACTTTTAGGCAAAACTAGATCATATAGAAAAGGAGTGGTCCTCTCCAATTTAGTTCAATATATTATTATGCGTACAAACATCAAGCATCTACTGCATTTTTAAGGTCGATGAAACGTAAATGACAAACTAAATAAATTCAATTCTAATTAGACTGACAACTAAAAACCTGTCCGGCCAGCTCCTATAATGCAAATCCTGCTTGTCCAAACTGAGGAAACTCTTCATAGAAGAGAGAGCCAGCGATACATTTCCCCGATATGGTAATATCTTGCAATTCTTTTTTATGGTGCTGGATTTATTCATGCTTGACTCCTGATAGAGATTAATTCTCTAAAGGTGGCGAAAGATACGACATAACCAAATATATGGTGCTGGATTTATTCATGCTTGACTCCTGATAGAGATTAATTCTCTAAAGGTGGTGGAAGATACGACATAACCAAATATATGGTGCTGTAAACATGTAGACAGCATCTAGGGGAGTTTTCATCTTCATATTCTTCATTCATCAAGCTTTTGGGGCCCCTTCCAATTTCTCCTCTGCAGAATATTCCTGCTACTGGAGCAGTAGGAAAGCTGTCACAGAACGGATAGCTATCAACAAACGGGTCTCCGAAGAATGACTCACCACGACGATAGCAAGAGAAAATGAAACCACCGAGCACTTCTTTCTTATCATCATTGTCGGCAAACTTGCTCAAATGAAGATAATTTTTGCTTTTCAGTTCTGCCTTCATAGCTAAAAGTTTGTTAAAGGCATGATCACACGTTGATGAAGCAGTTTCAGAATCTGCCTGGTAAAATAGGAAGGAATCACCACGTTGGATGCCAACACCATTGACAAAAAAGTAACGGTCTCCTCCTCTGTTGAAGGCCAAAAGAAACACAATCAATCTACATATTTTCTGCAATTGATGATCAAAGAAATCCTGAACATATAATCTGGACTAGATATTTCTGTTGCCGAATAAAAAACATAATATCAGACAGCACAGTTGGAAGCTAATTACTTATCTTACCCTCTGACTTCGTAGAAATCCAAATATTTTCCTGGCACCAAATTTCCCGAATCATTGGTGCGTTTAGTTTCTTTTGTGACACCAATGTAAATATCAGCTGACATTTCTGCGTCCATAAACTGCAACAGATTCATTTAGTTACTTAAGGAAGAAAATGAGTTCAAAACAATATACTGATCAGACACTCTCCTTCAAAACCATAACTAAATCCAGTTTTTAATTAGTTTTTTCAATAAAAGCAATTTCTCAGTTATATGTCTCACATTGAACAGCGAAACCAAGAAGCTGTGAAGACATAGTCAGATGGAGACTTGGCGGCAAAATTCTAATCAACCTTAGTTAATACCAGTTGCAATTTAATAAACATGGAACTTGATCTACCTAGTTTGAACATGGAAAAGGGGGAATTAAGAAAATCTAGTTGGGCTTAGCATGGTGGTTTCAGCTCTATGCCTAAAGGTGAATTAGTTCATAACAGAACTCATAACAACAAATCTTTCATGAAATAGTAGAAGAGAAAATCCTGTCATTTCTTCACTAGTCTAAAATAGTTACAAAAGGGGATACTAATTTAGAAATCAAAATAATCATATAAAAAACAGCATAATGATCCAAAAAAAAAAAAAAAAGGAACCTGTTGTTTGATATCATTTACAATCTCCCCGGCAGCCACAATGCCATCCTGCCCTTCCAGTTTTGCACTGAGCCATGAATGCTCTAAATCTTTCTGTAGAACCCAAACTGCCTCAAGTTTGGGACCAAATGGCATTACACCTTTTGACATTGTGACGTGGAATTGAATTTCTCCTATACCTTCTCACCCCAAAAGGCCAGAAAATATCACTCGTCAAAACAAATTCATGATATTCGGTGAATAGGGCAATTGCAGAAATGTAAAACTGTGGATCTTACATACTTTGGAACTCCAAAAGTATGATAACCGATACATAATTTGTAATTTTAAAGTGGAGCACTCTGCTATTGGTAATTTTAGCATAATTTGCTTCAATTCATACAAATCATAAGTACCTTCAGGCTTGTATCTATCCCTTGCAAATACAAGAGCAACAGCTTGAAAGTGGCAAGAATGCGCAAGATGGTTTAGAGAATTATCCCCATTTCTAAAAATGAAGTCTGCACTTGCATCGCCTACAATGACTGTTTCTTCTGGCATTGCAGAATCTGTTAAGTTGAAATGGTATAAGATGTATATGTAAGCTGTGCCACAACTAGAACTTGAAACACCATTCATGTTCTTGTTAGCTAGAAATGCAGCAAAGGAATGAACCATGCCACCTTATACTTATGTGCAGGTAAGGTACTTACCCATCTTTGCAACAATAGGTTTCATGTCAGCGGCTTTATCCTAGACAATGAACATTAGCATATGTTAGGTACCTAATAGACTTGATAGAATTTAAATTAAAAATTTATACAATGATGCCAACTTACTCCAAATAATATGATCCCAGTAGGGGCTGCACAATCTGATACAACAGCTGTGTAATGGAAAATATCCATCACAAATTTGTCAGCCAAGGTATCGGATTCCTGCAATGATGAAAAATATTACAAGTCACCAACCCATCATGCATACGCACAACAAAAAATAGCTCTCGTACTTTTCAATTTCAGTTTCATAGCATTTTATGCTTCACTTAGTGTGATGGCCAACATTCTCAATGCATTATTACTTAAGACGGCATTCCTGAAGACATTGCTTCCCATTAAGCACAATAAACCTTACCTTCCTCGATCGTAACAGTGGAATAGTGCCGATTTTGAGTCCAGGTAAAAATCCAACAAGCAAAACTAATCCTCGTTCAGCTGTATCTGATACTTGTGAATTAGGACCACCAGTTGTTGACTCCCATTTTTCCTGCATATTATTTTCATAAGATTTGGCATCATTGCCGCCAGAGATCTTAATTAATTTACATGAACACGCATATGAAATCAATAGAAACATACAAACCTCATACAATTCATCAGCAAGGCCATCAACACCAATGATTCCACTGGCAACATTAGTAATGATTGGGATGTTTGAACCTAGTTTTTTAATTATCTGCATCATGAAATCAAAAGTTAGTTCTCATTTGAAGATAGAAGAGGGAACCTAGAGCCAAATTAACCAAATACAATCAAATGAAAGATTCAGCAGAGAATTATTACCAGTCCATGAGTCAGTTCCAAGTTGAACTGCTTACAGATACAGGCAATAGCAAAGTGTGGACGAATAGGCTCAGAGAGAACCTGCTCAATAACCTCTTCCACAGCATCCTGGTAATCATAACACAAAACTAGGGAGCTCTATTGGTTTTGTTTCGAACAAAAAAGCAAAACAATTGAACGCAGAAGGAAATCTTGAAGCTTTCTAGGCTTTTCGTCTAGGTTATTTTTTAATTTTATTTCAATTATTTTCCTTTTCCCCCCTAAAGTACAGTTCAATCTCATCAGCTTGGAACAGAAGAAACAATACCTATTACAGCAGCTCAAGCATGAGGCGCGCCAGCGCATAAGTTCTATGAACATATATGTTGATTGAAATAGGGAAATCATGTCAGAAACTATGAGTTTATTCAACTTCTCCAACCAGAGGAATAATTAATACCAATTCCAGTTGCATATGCATGACATGCGCCAACAAATGTGTTCTATGAACATATTTGATGATTGAAATTGGACGATCACATTGGCAACGATAGGGTTCCTCCGAATTAATAACAATTTCAGTTGCGCTTGCATGACACGCAGTATGCGAATATGTTCACAACATATATGTTGAAGATAGGATTCTTCTTGTTTTCTCCGTCTGAAAAGAACAATTCCAGTTGCATGCGTCATGCAGGTGCATGCAAATATTTTCTGTGAACATATATACTAAATGAAATTGGACAATCGCGTTAACAACAATTGGATTTCTCTTGTTTTCTCCGCCCGAAAGGAACTATTCTAGTTGCGCGTGTTATGCACGTACAAGTGACTATGTTCCGTGAACATATATGCTAATTAAAATTACACAATTTCTCCGATCAGAAGGAAAAATACCAATTTTCGGAACTGGATTTGGAAAAATATGAAAGTCAAACAACTTACATGGACAGAAGGGTTGAGGGAGAGAGCAGACGCTAGCTTGGGCCTTTTGAGTATTTGGCTGCATGTTTTGTACCAGCGTTTGTCAACACAGGTAGCATATGCAAATGTCAAAGCTGGTAACCTTGAGAGTATGTTTTGCATAATCTCTTCAGTCATCAGAGAGAACCCGCTCATCCTTCCTCCTGATAGCTGCTTAGTCATTTGAGAATGTATCGCTTTATGTGAAGCCCACGTACAGTTTTGCATGCAAAAGATAGGCAAAGTGCTGCCTATTTTATACTTGGTAACAGAGTGCAGCAATTCATTTTGAAAAAAGGAGTTATCTTTTCGAGAATCTTGCTGCAGTTAAGGCCATTTAAGGAGGTTGGGATTCTTTTCCTTTCTTGGTTTATGGTTTTGGATTCTCTAAATTGAATGGGTTTTGGTGTTTTCTGTCACCACCTCCTCTTTTACTTGTTTTATCTGATTGCATATCCCACTTCAGTATCCATATTTATTATATTACTTACTCATATTTTGTACACATCCTCCCCAATGTAAAGACCATTAATATGGTGGAGGCTGGCTTGGTTTCATTCCTAAAAACGAATCCATAAGAAAAGCTACTTGTTAAATAAAGTTTTCTTTTCATCTAGAAACTGCTTGCAATCAAGTTGCAAAAGCATTTGACATGAAGGTTTTTCAAATGATTTTGGTGTTGGTGGGGAGGTCATAGGGCTAGAAATGGCATTGAATTATGGTCCAACTATGTAAAAAATTCTTCAGTTTTTAAATACCAATAGCTAATTTTTCTAGATCTCCTATTAGTTGTTCCTTGTCTTCAAACAAACTCTTCCAAGGATCTAGTAAAGTTCCTCTTCATCAAAGGTAGATTACAAACTTTCCCTCCAACCACCCATTGAAGAAGCGAAATTTATGTATCTTTTTCACATGAAACCTCATTTTCAGCTCTAAAATATTATCTAATTATTCTTAATTTCATCACAATCGACTACTTCTATCAATTTTTTCTATCAATTTTGATTCAAACTTATCGAAATTAGGCAATAGTGACTAATTCCAATATCAAAATAGAAGTAAAAAGCACGTGAGTGTTCCTACATGGAGAGGCAACTTGTCTATTTTGAATAGATTTGAAACAAATTTTATCCCTAACAAACTAATTGATTATGGATGAATTTGAAATTCAAGTAATAAGTTAGGGACAAAAATGTAAGTATATATCCCGAGTATCAATCATCATAGTTACATATATAACACAATAGGATCCTAAATGGGCTTTGTCATAAGAGGTAATAAGAAATGTCTCTACAAAAAAAACTAAAAAATAGCGACGGACACAAATCAATCGCTAAATAACGATCAAAAAGCATCTGTGAGATTTAGAGACGAAATAGAGATAGTTTGACGACGATTTATCAATGACGGATGAAATTTCGTCATTATTTGAAGTGTCAAAATCCTTCAAGGTGTCTTAGTAAAGCGTTAGCCACGGAATGGATACAAAAATCAACGATGGGATATTATTCCATCACTAATTTTTAATATTTTTCTTTAGCGATCGATATTTTGTCTCTAAAGCACGAAATCCTTTGCTAAATCTAAAAAAATGGACGGCCTTACGGAACAAAAAAAAACGTTCCATTTAACAATAGAATAGCAACGAGACATTAAGTTTTAGTCGCTAAATAGTGACCAATCAGCGATAAAAATGTGTCCGTCGTTCCTTTTGAAAAATAAGCAACCTTCGAAGTTAATAAAACACCTATTTAACAATGAATTAGTGACGGACACTTATGTCTATCGCTAATTAATGACCAACTAGAGATAGGATCGCGTCCATCACCGGTCCGAATCCCTAATTAAATCCTCATTTTACTTTTTCTTCTTCCTTTCTTCACCTCTAACCACTAGTTCTTCCCCCACCTAAAACCACCGAAAAACTACATTCCTCCACTCTTCATCAATCCATACCTACTCCACACTTTTTTCTCCTTAAAAACCATCATTTTTCTTTCCTTTCTCTCGTTCTCTTCCTTGTCCAAATTGGGTATAAGCTCTCTCTCTCTCTCTCTCTCTCTTGTTCCTTAAAAGTTAGTTATTTTAAAAAATTTTGTGTTAATTTTAAATTTAATTGGTTCATTTATAATTTTATATAGTTTTAATTGTTAATTTATTGATTAATTTATTAAATTGTTATTTTTTGTTAATTGTTAGGTTAATTTATTAATTAATTATCTATTTGATTTAATTTTAATTAATTAATTAGGTTAATTTTGATTAATTGGTTAATTTTTAATTTTATTTGTGCTAAAAATTATCAATAAATTATTAGTTAAATTTAATTAGGTTTAAATTAGAGTTAATTTGATTTAGTTTTGAAATTAATTTAGTTTAAATTAGAATTAATTAGGTTAATTTGATTTAGGTTTAATTAATTAATTAGGTTAAATTTTATTAATAGGTTGATTTTAAATTTTATTTATATTAGAACTTGTTAATTAATTGCAACTTAAATTTAATTAGATATGAATTAGGGTTAATTTGATTTAGGTTTGAATCGAATTAATTGGGTTAATTTGATTAATTGGTTGATTTTTAATTTTATTTGTATTCAAAATTGTTAATTAATTGTTAGTTAAATTTAATTAGGTTTGAATTTGAGTTAATTTGATTTAGTTTTAAATTTAATTAATTTTGAATTAGAATTAATTAGGTTAATTTGATTTAGGTTTAATTAATTAATTAAGTTAAATTTAATTGATTGATTGATTTTTAATTTTATTTGTATTGAAAATTGTTAATTAATTATTAGTTAAATTTAATTAGGTTTGAATTTGAGTTAATTGATTATTTTGTGTATAATTATTGAAGGGTTTTGAGATAAGCTATAGCGTATCGAACCCAAAGGGTTGGTGTAACACCTCGACCTAGGATTTAGATAGACCAAGAGTATTATCGATATTAATTTACATTCACTATTGCATTTTTTACATTATGTAATGGTTTATTTGCGACGATTCAAAAATCGTTGCATATTATAATCATATGTAGCGGTTTCCAATCTGTTGCGGTCAAAATTATTTTTTCATTAATGAATTAGGTAAACCGTTGCATAAGATTTAATTACGCAATTGTTTCCATAAACTGCAACATAAAGGTGTTTTGTGCAACGAGTTTGGAACCGTTGCAATTGAAATTTTTAATACAATCCATAACCCGATAAAACTTAATTTTCATTCATTCTCCCATGAACACACATTGAGAAATCCTCTCCAATGTCTCTTCTCTCTCGCTCGCTTTCTCTCTTTCTCGAAGCTTTATGTTGCTCTATCTCTCTACAAATTCGAAACATATTTTCGTTTCATATTCCAGATCTCTCCTCTCTTTTGTTAATTGAAGTCTTAGCAATCGGGTAGTTTTCCGTTGAAGGATTGGGCAAGATTGGGGTGAAGTTCTATCTTATTTGAGGTATGTAATTTTCATTCAATTTATCTCCCTAGGTCTTCATATATATTATATGTAATTTTGTTTTAATTCATCTCTTTAGGATCGGGTATTGGATTTCTATCCTTATTTATCAACTTTTACTAGTTTAGGATTTGGTTTTCAAGTGTGAGTGACCGTTTTTATTGAATTTCTCTCTTTAATAAATGGGTTTTCGTATATTTTTGTGATTTTCTCTTTTGGGTCTACTTAATTTGTGTTGTTGGTTAATGGAGTGTTGAAATTTTAGCTAACTATTTCTTTTCTTTCTAATGTTATGGCTATAGAAATCTAGCATTCAGATTTGCCTCCGTAATTTTTTTATTTTGTGATATCGTAATGATATCTTTTATTTGATTATTTGAATATCTTGTTATTTTACCCATGTATCGCCTCTAACGTGCTTGGCGAGCACATTAGCCTACATGCTAGCGTGCGGCTAGCTCTGTGAGCTGGCATGTTGGCACACACATCGGCTCTGCAGCTGGTATGCTACCATTTAATTTTTGTTAACGAAGGATATGGAAAAAAATCTTTCAATTGTCAATGAGTAAGAAAACTTGCGGAATGAATAAATATTGAAGAAGATGGTATGACTTGATATGTGCATGAGCTTATAAATCAAATGGAAAGACTAACTCCGAGCCTTGAATCTTGATTAATTGCTGCTATCGATTTTCTTTAATAGCTAGTACAAATTAAGAGATTCATGATTATGATAATGGACGAACCAATAAGTCTTGAACTAATAAGTCCGAGACTAAGTTCTTATTATCGTCCGTTTACGTGGATGAATTCTTTTAAGCAAATGCTTGATTAGGACTCGAAAGGTTTCTTACTATTCTCCTTTTTTATGCATTATATATATTCTAATTTGTAATAATAATTGATTATGTTAGAAACTTCAAGTTATGGATAAGAGTTGGATGGCTCTTTCAAGAATTAGTGAAGCATATATGAATGTAGTTGATGATTTTTTAGATAAGGCATTTCAAAGAGCGACTCAAAGGGAAGAGATTCTTTGCCTTTACAAACGGTATTGTAATTTTTATTGAGAGTATAGAATGATTGCTCGTGATCATTTGATTGCGGATGGGTTTCTTGAAGGGTATAATGAATGGGTTTTACATGGAGAAGAGTTATCATCAAGAATGCATAGTGAAGATTCTCCCTTTGATGATGTGGGACTAGAAAATGTTGATGGCATGGATGTAATGTTGCATGATGTTTATAGAAATTTTTTTTTACGAAGTTGCCAACACCCAAGGAGTTCGAGAATGCCCAACCAAGGAAGCCGAGAAATTTTATAAGTTGGTAGACAAAGGAAAGCAAGAGTTGTATCCGAGGTGTAAGAATTTCTCAAGGCTTTCTTTCACCATTTGGTTATATCTTTTTAAGTGCCTCCATGGACTTAGTAATGTTGTATTTCATGGTCTTTTAGAGTTATTGGCTTTTCCCGAAGCAAAAGTTCCATAATCTTTCAATAAAGCAAGGAAAACAATTAGAGATTTAGATCTTGATTACCAAAAAAGTCATGCATGCCCAAATGAATCCATGTTATTTTTGAATAAGCATGAAAATGCTACGTTTCATCATATTTGTAGTGCATCTAGGTATATATTAGATGATAATTTTGAAAGAGATATCAATAGCTATTCAACTAGTACTTACCGAATCCCGACTAAAGT